AATCCTAAAGTCAACGCCTAACACGTGTCGCCGGGTAGTCTATTCCCGTGAGAAAGACGAAGTCTACGCATTTAATATCGTAGAACTAAGGGCGTTAACTCTCTTGGCACAACGTCACATGCGGAACGGATTTTTATAATCCGCATGCTAGCCCGACTCAAACGGTAGTCGGTAAAGGCTTACCAAACCCGTTGATGGCTGAGAATTTGCCAAAAATTCTATAAATGCAAGTCATTGATGTACCAGCTCCATTAGTTGGTCTCGTGACTTGAGCATCCAACTAATTCAGGATAAAATCCACACATGCAGATGAATCAGCTTTAACAGTTGGTCCTGCAGCCCCGACACCTGGGACCGATTTGCTCCAATACCTTAAGAGCTTAAACTGTGTATACTCCAGCAAACGTACGAGTATAAACTGTGTTAATGGCAATTCGAAACCCTAGGGTCAACGCCGGTCACCGCGTAACCCTAGGTCAACGCCAGTCAACGCGTTGCAATCAAAGTCAACGTTCGACGATTCGAAACCCTAGGGTGGACGCCGGTCAACGCGTAGCCCTAGGTCAACGCCAAGCAACGCGTTGCAACAAAAGTCAACGTTCGATGATTCGAAACCCTAGGGTGGACGCCGGTCAACGCGTAACCTTAGGTCAACGCCAGTCAACGCGTTGCAATTAAAGTCAACGTTCGACGATTCGAAACCCTAGGGTGGACGCCGGTCAACGCGTAACCTTAGGTCAACGCCAGTCAACGCGTTGCAATTAAAGTCAACGTTCGACGATTCGAAACCCTAGGGTGGACGCCGGTCAACGCGTAACCCTAGGTCAACGCCGGTCAACGCGTTGAGACAAAAGTCAACACGCGATGGTCCGAAACCCTAAGCCAGCATAATGTGGCGAAGGTAGTTCAAAGTCAACTCAATGACACGAGCCAAACTCAATTCATCAGCTGCAGACTCGAGACTCCGACGACGGCCAGACGATTAACGCAGTGCCGGAAGAACCTCGGCTATTCGTCAAAGCATCGAATAGACCAAAAATTGAAGGAGCCAAGAGTTGAAGTTAACCACAGGTCCTGATGCTGACTGAAGGCTAGACCAATCACATCCAAAGTATTCCATCCTCTTCTATAAAAGAAACGAGTCCGGAACACTTTGGAGGGGGTATCTGTAGGCATCGAAAATTGCCTATAGGTCTCCACAAACGGTTCAGTGTTAAAGAGCGACGATGAACGTCACCATCCGATCCACATGAGTCCAATTGACGTCAACAAACGACTGAAGTGAATCGACGAGCTACATGAGCGGATAGGATTTCGGAACAACGAAGACCCGGACCAATCGGGAACCCGACACTGTTCACAAATAAGACAATCTTTTGTCTTGGAGCAAGGCTAGAGAGAGAGGGGGAGGATTTTTGGAGAGCTTGGCGAAGCCCTGCTGCAGTGAAGAGTGCCCGTGTGCTTCAACGAGAGGAGGAGAGGTCTACATCAGTCTTCATCGCCCGTCAGATCCTTAGTATTGGCCTTAGCGTTGATACTAAGAAGAGCTATTACCTCGCTTTAGCCGAGATAGACGCTTGTAGCTTCTAGATCTCACGCGGATCGACGAAGCTCTGTCCGATTTATCCGGATCAGAAAGTTTCTAGATCTCACGCGGATCGACGAAGCTCTGTCCGATTTATCCGGATCAGATCTGAGTGCCCCGGTGGTCCACGGATATCAACGTCCCCGTCACAGGCCAAAGACCCACGCAAGCAAGAGATGATGAACAGATCTTGCGTTTGTTTGAAAAGAGTTGTATTTCTTTTGTTTTCATTGTGTAAAGGTCTTATAAAAAGGCTATCTTTTTGTTTCATTGTAACGATTGAAGTTGTAATGAATGCAGCAATGAATACAACAACTTTTTCCGCAAACACCTACAGCTAAAATTTGCTCATAAAATTTGTGTTAATTGTAGAAAATTACCCTCAACTATTTTTGGCCGTCTCAAAAAACTCCCCTTAATTTCCCCCCAAAATAATGCAATCAGAGAAAACCCCCCTCAATTGTGGAGTTATTATAGATAACCGTTATCAACTTTAAAATTTTATTCTCTCAATTCCTCTTACTTTAGGGGATGTTTGGTTCGTTTCCTATATATAGCGAAATGTATTTCCATGTACAAAAACACAAGTTTTGAGTTTTCCAAATTTTTTTCAAGAAATAGATTGTTTCGCTTTGGTTCGCACATAAAAAATGGTAGGAAATCAATGTATTTACTTTTCTTGTGTTTGGTTCACATGGAAAAAGGGGAAAACTTTTGTTGATATGACATTTCCTACTTTTCTTGTGTTTGGTTGGTTTTAAAGTTTGTAGGTAGGGAAAAGTGTTTATGGTCACCATGGTAAGATTATCCCTACTATATACAAATTTTTTGTGCTCGTAATATGAGATATTCTTAATCATATAAAAGTTCGAATGTTCCTATTTTAGATTGAAAAATCACACGAATCCTGTAATAACCTGATTATTCATAAATTTATGCAGTACATACCCAAATTACCCAACCAGCCAATCAAACCAAGTCACCAATGTGTTATTATAAGCAAGTGAAATAACAGCAGATGTAACAAATATAACACAGGAAGAGAGTGGTAGCATCCTCATAACCAGACTCACAACCAAAAATCCCCCAAACAAGCACAAAAGCATCAGTTACTCAACAATGAACATGATACACCAACCAGCCAACCAAAAAAGAACCAGGAAACACTATTACAACCACCAAAAATGAACCAGGAAACACCATCCAACCATACATAATGAACCAAGAAACACATAATGTACAAACAATGATATGTTAACTTAGATGTAGCAATATCATGCACCATCCACTTGCACAATTTTCTCATTAGGAACCAGAAAGAATAGTCATTTCCTTCGAGTAACAGGACAAGAAAGACTAAAAACTCAAATGCAGCAATATCATGCATTTTAAATGTGGCTATAAGTACAAAGAAAAAAATGCAAATAAATGATAGAGAAACAATTAATGAAGCATAACAGACAACTCGCCTCTTCCCGTGCAGCTTTCTGGATGTTCGATTTTGCTTGCAAGTTGGCATTTCTCAAGCTCATATGCAAACTGAAAAATAAAATTAAAAGACACATTATGAAAATCAACACATGACCACCAATTATCTGTTTCATCAAGTTCAATTACGAATAAGTAGCAAGTATCATACCTCTGATACTGTTCCTTCCATGACTTCAAAATTGCATTGGCAGACTACACCTCCTCTTCTGTGGGAAGTTGTTGGGCTAAAAGGTTGAGCTTAAACTGCAATGCTAATATCAGATAAATTGAAATGCATCATAGCTTAATTTGAACACCCGTAAACAATATCAAAATAATTATTCAGAAACAACATCACCAGCCAACAACACTACCAGGCAACAACACCATCAGCCAACAACAATATCAACTACCAAGCAACAACACCACCAACTAACAACATCATGTATGAACCAGGAAACAACACCACAAGCCAATAACAACATAAAGTACCAACCAGCCAACAACATCAAGAAACGAGCAGGCAAACAACCAGAATTCAACACCAACAGGCAACAACAACATCAAGTACCCACAAGCCAACAACATCTTCAAGTACCAGGCAACATCACCACCAGCCAACAACAATATTTAAAGTCAATATGTGCCAAAAAAAACCAAGCACAAAATATTCACAAACCTAGCATATGCACACTAAACTGAGCACAAACAGAAGATATGCTCACAAAGCGAACCGAAAATAGCATATGCACACCAACAACATCAAGTACCAATGAACATCATCAAGTAATCAACAGGTGGCTACTGATTTTTGCTGAGGGCTCAGAATTTAGTCAATATCATCATTGTTAGCCATCTAATACAATATCAACAGATATTGTAGGTTGCTAATCTCAGATATTATGACAATCATCATAGCCTAAAATTCCAAAGGTCACCAATGTAAACTCGTTGTTTGAAAACTTAGTTCACAAAATACACTAACACAACCAGGCTCACAACCAGAAATCCCCCAAACAAGCACAAAAGCATCAGTTACCCAACAATGAACATGACCACCAACCAGCCAACCAAAAAAGAACCAGGATACACCAACCAGCCATGAAAAAGGAACCAGGAAACACCATCCAGCCACACAAAATGAACCAGGAAACACACATAATGTACAAACAATAATATGTTAACTTAGAAAATATCTTTGTTGCTAATCTCACTAAGAAAATTAGTGAAATGGGCTCAGAATCTAGTCAATATCATTATTGTTAGGTATCCAATGTAATATCAATTGATATTGCAGGTTGCTAATCTCAGAAATTTTGATAATCATCATAGCCGGCTTATGTTATGCACAACTTCTGTGGATAAAACAAAATTTGGTTGATTTTGATTTACATTTTTATGATATACACTACTAGAAACAGGCCTTTTAGCGACGGACAAATCCGTTGCTAAAAGTCAAAAATCCATCGCTAAAAGTTTTAGCGACGAAAAAAAAACAAATTCCGTTGCCAAAATACCGTCCGTACATTGAGGCTTGCTAAAATCACTTTTAGCGACAGATTTTCTGTCGCTAAAATACAGCGACAGGATATTAGCGACGGTCTTTTCGTCGTCGTATTTAAAAAAAAAAATTAAAAAATATTAGCGATGAAATTTTCGTCGCTAATATAGCTTTTAGCGACGGAAATTCCGTCGCTAATATAGCTTTTAGCGACGGAAATTCCGTCGCTAAAGGTTGTATTTATTATTGCAATTCTTTTTTCCGTATCTATTTTTCGTTGCTAATATAGCTTTTAGCGATGGAAATTCCGTCGCTAAAGGTTGTATTTATTATTAAAATTCTTTTTTCGTATCCGTTTTTCATTGATAATACAGCTTTTAGAGACGAAAAATCCGTCGCTAATAATAACCACTATTTTTAAAAAAATACTTTAAAAATTGAAAAAACCCTGTATAATATCGATAATAATTTTAAAAACCTTGTTCAATCAGCAGTATAATATTCAATCCCACGCATATATCACACATATATTTCAATAAAAACAAATAAAAGTTTCTCGATACCTACATAATAAATATTGTTTATACAACATAAGAAATTTTTTCAAAGTTAAATTAATTACAATCAATCCTCCTGATCATCATCATCATCCTCAACACCAGCTGCATTATGAATAGTCCTAACTGTACCTTGTGAAGAAGTCTCGGCCTGTAAATATAAATCAAATGTTAACGAGGGTGTGTAACCATTAATAAGATTGTGCAAATATAAATATAATTCCCCCAACACCACAACACAAATCAATAACACAACACAATACAACACAACACCAAAACACCACAACACAACAACACAACACCACAATACAACACAACACCTACACTACATAACCACAACACAACACCACTACACTACACAACACAATTTTCCTGGGGAGGGAGATGAGGGCTAGGGTCCGGATCTGGCCATTGGTGGAGGCGGCAGTGGGGACAAGATCGAGAGAGGGAGCAACTGGAGATTTAAGGCAAGGGGAATGAATGAGAAATTAAGAATGAGGGAATTTATATTAGTCGGATATGGGTATCAGGTATGGGTTACGACGAGTGGGGGAAAGTTCGGTCGGGTCAGTTTAATCGGGTTGAACGTTTCTAAACCCGATCCGAACCGGACTTTGATCAAAACCACACCGAACTGTGGGAAATTGGTCGGTTCGGTCGGTTTGGACCAAACTTTGCTCACCCTAATCACGGGGGCTCCATGTCCTTCAGCCAGCATTATCATTAATTGGAGCTTGAGGTATATAATATATTAGCTTATATCTCTTCAATTTGAGTATAATTTATGTGTTATAGGTTAATGATATATTTGAATAAAATAGGGAAGGGTCAATTTGAGTATAATTTATGTGTTATAGGTTAATGATATATTTGAATAAAATAGGGAAGGGGAGATCTCAGACATTTTGCAGATCGTATTCTGACTTAAAATAGGGAAGGGGAGATCTCAGACATTTTGCAGATCGTATTCTGACTTCCTAGAGCCTGAATTACGCTGATGAAGAGAAGAAAGCGAAGAATAAGGATCTGGCTGTAAGTAGCAGTTCATTTGTATATTCAATTTCATAACAATGCATTATTAATAAGTCAACTTGCCCAGGTTGTTTTGATATATCACAGGAGAAATTATATGTTAAGGTACAGAAGCAAATATCTCAGTATCAAGTCGGTTCTAGCACTCTGTCCCGGCTAAGTAGAGAGGAGGAGGACTCCAACATTAAGACGATCATTAGACCGAGTAGGAACAACATATACCGATGGAGAGAATCCAAGTATTGGCCGAGTCTAGTAGCACCTACGAGTCTGCAACTCCACCAGGAACACCAAGAAGCAGTTCATATCAAGACTCGATGGTAGAGTAGCTGTTGAAAGCGATTGAAGATTGACAGGCACAACAAACAACAAATCAGCGGATGGCGGAGGAAGAATGGAGGCGCCGAGAGTAGAGGGAATTAGAGTTCTCGCAGTTCATGTCGACTCTACCTCAAGAAGCTCAGGAGGCATATAGCAGATAGTTTATGGCGGATCAGGTAATATATATACTTTACTTTTTTTTAATTTAAGAACTAGCTATGTAATAATCGAGCTTTAGCAACGAGCTATGTATATCTTGAAGAACTAGAACTACATCTAATAAAAATATTAATTATTCAAGCTATAATCAGAACCAATCCACATGTTTATTTATTACCTTCACTTGGGCATTGTGTACAAGACTAACCATATTACTGATTGTGATAAAATAATTTTATATTCTCTAACTCTTTTTGATAATTTTGTATTCTCTAACTCTTTTTTATACATGAATTTAACCATAAAGAATACTACAAGGTATAAAAATTAATGAAAACCCAAAATGGAATATTACAGTTCAACTTTTCCATAGTTAACATCTATAAAGGAATATATGTCGTGTTATAAGCAAGATCTTATGGTTTGGTCTGTTACACACACCCTAATCCTAACTTAAAGCCAAAAATATATACTTATAATGTTTTTATGTGATGGTGCATGCGTGCGTGGTGAGAGAATTATGGGTGGGGTTAGGGTGAGTGCGTGCATGCGTGGTGAGAGAATTCTGTGTGCGTGCATGAGTGTTGATGGTGGTGTAAATGGTGCGTACGTGCGTGCGTGCGTAGTGAGAGAATTGTGGGTGGGGTTAGGGTGCGTACGTGCGTGGTGAGAGAATTGTGTATGGCGTTAGGGTGCGTGCGTGCATGGTGAGAGAATTGTGGGTGGGGTTAGGGTGCGTGCGTGCGTACATGCGTGCATGTTGATGGTGGTGTTGATAGTGCGTGAATGGTGAGAGAATTGTGAGTGGGGTTATTGTGCGTGCGTGAATGGTGAGAGAATTGTGTGTGCGTACGTGCGTATAATACATAAGTAAGAATATGCCATGATATTCTCTCCAAAACATATAACACATAAGAATATGCCATGATACTCTCTCATATTGCTAAACTTGCATGTTATGCCATGTTGGCTTATAATTTGTTACATTACTGTAAAATTCAGTTTTTGGTGATGCATATTGCTTTATAACTCTTGTTAATGTTTGTTTTATATTTGCAGGCCAGAACTTCTAGAGAAGGTGGAGCCGGTGGTCGTCATGGTGGAGCAAGTGATGAGGAATGATTTGTAACATTTTAACTTAGAAAACAATGAATGTGTTTATAAAAACAATATGTAATAATTTATTTGGTTTTATTGAAATATGTGTTATATATATGTGATATTATTGATTGAACAGGGTTTATGCGTGATACTGTTGATTGAATAGGGTTTATATGTGTTATATATGCGTGATATTATTGATTGAATAGGGTTTAAAAAAACTTTATGCTATTGTACATGTTTTTTTTTCAATTTTCAAAGCATTTTAAAAAAATATGGGTGACTTTTAGCGACAGATATGTCGTCGCTAAAAAAATCTTTAGCGACGGAAAACGGACACGAAAATCTATCGATAGGCGTCACTAAAAACCTCTTTAGCGACGGAAAACGGAAACAAAAATCCGTCGCTAAACTTTGCTGTCACCAATAGGCCGTCGCTATATGTAGTTTTGTTTTTTTTAAAAATAGATCGATGGAAAATCCGTCGCTAACCTTTAGCGACGGCATTTTCGTCACCAAAAGTCTAATTACGGACCCTCAATGCACCAACAGTTATTTAGCAATGGAATTTATTTTTTTTCGTCGCTAAAAGATATAGCGACAGTTTTTTAACCTTTAGCGAAGGATTTGTCTGTCGCCAAAGAGTCTAAATCCAGTAGTGATAGATTTGGAGGAAGATGGTCTTACCTCAAAATGCTGCTGAAAAATCCAAGGGTGCAAGCAAATATGTTCTCCCTCGCCAAACACTGACGATCTCGTCCTCTTCTCGGTATTTGCTTCACAAAGCTCTCAAAATTCACTAAAGTATGCTCTAGAGTTTTTTGAGGGGAGAGGGTGGTTGTT